TTATAACTTTTTTCATATATATATATATTAATAATTATATTTATTAATTAGATTTAACGGACTATAAAAGAAAAAGTTTGTCAGAACTGAATCTCCATACCGATTCGAAGTTCGAGAACTATTCAACCCATGTGACGCACATGCCATTTGGAATCACTAAATCTAACTTTGGTAATGGATAAATACTTGCCTTACCCAAATATATATATATAATCTTGTAACATTTAACTATTTTCTTGTCCTCATATTTGTCACTTCCAATTTTTTCGCTTTGGAATAGTTTATACCTATTGAATTACTCTATGCTGTTGTTTCTATCCAAAGTAGAGATATACCTAAAATAAAAAAGTTAATGGTCATCCATTCTTAATTTAAAAATAAATTTACACTTAATTAAAAAAATTATTAACATGATTTTTAAGGAGTTATTATATATAAAAAATACAATGAGATGTAATTAATTAAATAGTATATATATATATTTTAAAATTGTTAATACATAACTTATTTTTTAATTAGAATGAATAAAAAAGTAATTCGGCGGCATATAATGGTGACTACAGTAATTTCATATGTATATGTATGCGTGGACTTTATTTTTTTAATTTCTTCAAAAACAAGTATAAAATGATTAACGACTAAAAGTATATTTGAATAAAAGTTAATTACTTATATATTGTCAGTGTAAATTTTTTTTATACTGACAACTAATCATATTTTTTAATAGTGTCATGTTATTTGTTTATTTAATGAAATAAAAATAAAATAAAATAATTTAAAAAATATGATTAATTATTAGTATAAAAAACTTTATACTAGAAGTGTATGGATGATTAATTTTTTAAATAAAATTATAAGTGTTTGTGATAATATTTTTATAAAAAAATTATTTTTAATAGAGTAATTTTTTTTTTAAAAATATACTTTTAATTTGTTTTTAAATAAGCTCTAAATAATTAAAATTTAACAAAATATTCTATGAGAAGAACACAATTAAGAATTTGAAAAAAATGAGCTTGACACAAGTGGTCACACTCTTATATATGTGTATGAATAAAAGTTCACCTTATATTCCTTTTATTTCACAATGACTATTTTAACATTTGAAAAATATTAAAAAAAATGATGTTTTATTTTTAATGCAATATTAATTATTTTTTTTCTTCTATTTTATTCTTTTAAAAATTATTCAACCACCGTAATTAAAGATAATGAATTTATTGATAGAGTAGGTTATGTTAGCAAAATTGTAAAAAATAATATTTTATTTTAATGTTTAAGTTATTGTGGAACAAGAAAGAGAGTAACTCATGTTAATTTTCAAGCAATAATTTTTTACTTTTACATTTTATGCATCGAAAAGTATAAATATTTGTTTAAAAGCTTTGAAAACCAATAACCAAATATACTTTACTTAATTTTGTTTGTTTGTGTGTGTGTGTTTTTTTTATTATTATTTTTTTTAACGATTACACTCCTATGTTGTTGGTACTCTTTCTTTGCAAAAATAATATTTGTGAATTGTTATACTTTTTTATACATAAATTAAAAATAATAATAAATATATAATTTTACTTAAATAACTTAATCTTTTAATAAATGTATTACTCAATTGTGATGATTAAATTTTTTATAATAAGATAAGTTAAGAAAAAAATAATTATTATACGTAAAAATAAAAGATTATTCTTCTTAAAGATTTTCTAAATAGTAAAACCGATATAACGAGAGATTACCTTTTTTAAGAAAGAATTTTTGTGTTGGATCATTTGACTTCTAATTAGTGGGATTACGGTTGTTCATTAGAAATTGAAAAGGACCATGATTAGACATCCAATACTCAATTCTAAAAAGTGGGACGCAGTTGTTCTCTGTCAAAGAAATGGTCCTACAATTAACGGTATAAAATCAACTTAACAGTGAAATTAAATACTATAATTTTTATATTTATATTTAAAAATAAAATCTATTTGGTTGTAAATTAAAATTAAAATTTCACAACCAATTAATTTTTATTACACATTGGGCCAGAAAGCCCAAAACATGACTTTTAATTTGTTTGGATTAGCTTCCCCTGTTCCCCATTACTTGGTTTATTAATTGACAATCACAACTTCACAAACGACTTTCTTTTCTTCTTCTGTGAATCAATCAGAAGCGAGTCAAGTTAAACACCAATTATTGACTTTGTGTGAGAAATGCCACAAGTTCCAAACTCCCTCTTCCACATAATATCTTATCCAACATCACATTTCGTTATTGAAAAAGGAGGAAATTAGAAATTAAAAAGTAAATTGGAAAAGCAGGGAAATTGAGTGGCACAGGCACACTCATACTTTCCTGCAATGATACTCTTCCTTTAAAATCACTTTCATTTTCGAAAATAATAATAATTATTATTATCATATTATATTACTATTATTTTTTCCCTATATTCATCTCTTTATGTCTCTTACACTTTCTTAAGCTCTGCACCACAACCTTCATCAACTTGGAACTCAAAGTACGCGGTTTGTGTGAGATCCAAAAGTTAATGTTCCTTTATTCACTCTCAATTTTCCATCACAATCTAATCTTCAATTCCCCAATTTCACGATTCTTATTCTGCAAAGCTCCACCCTTTGTTTTGTGCCTCTATTTATTCATTTTCTTTACCTGCGATAGTGATTAACGCCGTAGCAGATCCTCCAAGATTAGTTTTTTCCGCTGATTCTTAGTTCAACGCTTTGTGACAGTTCACACCCCAACGTGATCTGTGGCCTTGTCCTTTTCAGCTACATTTCGACACTCTCGCCATTTTTTTTTTTGTTTTGGGGGTTTCTTGTTCCCTATTTTTCTATTCTAATACAGTGGTATTCTAGTACATGTTCCTGTTTTTTTAATCGTAGTCGCTCTGTTGACTGCTAAACTTTTATGGGTCGGTTTTCTTTTTGAGCTCCGGTCAGGTTTGAATTAAAAGTTTTCTCTTTTACTTCTTCGTTTTGATTTGCTTTGTTTTGGTTTGCATTTTGAACACCTCCTTTTGATCTGGGGCGTTCTGGTGCTGGTGGGGTTGTGTCTTTTCTTTTTTCTGGGTTTTTGAAGTTGAAGTGCGAGTTTGGGTGATCTGGATTTGAGTTGAGGTGAGGGGTTTGTTGGATGCTCCTATTGGCGTAAATCATTCGAAGGGTTTTTATGCTTGGTTGCAAAGATGCTTCCTGATCAGAGAAAAAAGGTAAAGTTGCTTAACTGATTCACATGTAGATGTATATATATGTAGCTTAATTCGTGTTGTGTTGTCGATTTATATTATTCGGGGAGAAATTGGATGGGTATTGAGATTTGTGACGAGTGAAGGCTATTTGTGTTGTGAGTTCTGCACCTATAATAGGATATAGATAGAGTTTGTATTCTTCATGAATCATGATAGAAAAATTTTGTTTTTTTTATGCCATCTAGTGTGGGGCTCTAACTCTTCCCTGACACTTTTTTTTTCCTTCTTTTTTATTTGTGGATATGAGAACCATTTCTGGTTAAGAAGAAACGACGTGTCTTGCAAATGTCTATACTTCTTTGCTATGTGCCCACGTCTGTGGTGTTGGTTTGTGAGGGATCCTGCAGAAAGCTTTCCTTCATTTAGGATTTGGTTGTCAATGTCAACTATTTTTGGTTTTTATGGTATCTGCAGACTATTGCAATGGATTATTTTAGCCCCCCCCCCCCTTATGTTTATTCTTCATTTTAATATTACAAACTTACTGATAACAGATTTCGTATTATTTTAATCATTATCTTTGACCCCGCTGAAATTTAATTATACCAACTTAATTCCATATGCGGGATTGAAAACCTCCAGAATATGTTTAATTCATTAGTTTTAGATACTGTGATCTTTGGTAATATGAATCTTATCTTATGTGTAACTGTAAATTAACTATCTTGGTACCCATCTTTAAAAACTTTGGAGCTACTTTTACCCTCCGTTCTTCATGGTTGGATGCCAACTTTACACACTAATCTTGCAACTCTCTGGTATAAAAATGTGTAATATAGTTCTGTTTCCTTTCCTTAAAATATGGATGTTGTGCATCATGTAAATCATATGTATGTGGGGCTTTGAGTTTGCTTAGTATCTTGATTAAAATAGTTTGGCTTTTGTATTTATGCAGTCATCTGTGGATGTGGACTTCTTTACTGAATATGGTGAAGGGAGCAGATACAGAATAGAGGAAGTAATTGGTAAAGGAAGCTATGGTGTTGTCTGCTCTGCATATGATACACACACTGGAGAAAAGGTTGCAATAAAGAAAATCAATGACATATTTGAACATGTTTCTGATGCCACTCGCATTCTTCGCGAGATTAAGCTTCTTAGACTTTTACGCCATCCAGATATTGTAGAGATCAAACATATTCTGTTACCTCCTTCTAGAAGGGAATTCAAAGATATATATGTTGTCTTCGAACTCATGGAATCTGATTTACATCAGGTCATCAAAGCTAATGATGATCTGACACCAGAGCATTACCAGTTTTTCCTGTATCAGCTTCTTCGAGGCTTGAAGTATATACACACAGGTTAGTTGGGGGGTATTTCTTAAATTGCTTGCTGTAGCATGTATATTTTTGTTGCAAAAACTAGTTGCTAAATTATATGCTCATTGCGGCTGATTTTAAATTTCTTAATGGACTTGCAGCAAATGTCTTTCACCGTGATCTAAAGCCAAAAAACATTTTAGCAAATGCTGACTGCAAACTGAAGATATGTGACTTTGGTCTTGCCAGAGTGGCTTTCAATGATACCCCCACTGCTATTTTCTGGACAGTATGAATCTTTTTCCCTGAAACTATCATCTTCAATTGAACATAATTCTCCTTCTCAGTTCATCATATCTTAATTCCATTTGTTTCATTGTTTGCTTGCAGGATTATGTTGCAACAAGATGGTACAGGGCTCCTGAGTTGTGTGGATCCTTTTTTTCCAAGGTATAATATATGTTATGACTATTATTTAAGATTTTTGGTCAATTTTATTCGATATTTACCCCTGTTTGATATCCGAAGTTTTGGTATACTCTTTTTTTATCTCCCCCTTGTCCCTCCTGCTTCTTTCCTTCTGACAAATATGCCAGGATTTTTTGGAAGAACATGACAGTTCTAAAAAATTATACATAGTGATTTTTTTTCCCTCTTCAACTTATCCAGTCAATGAATATGGACTTGTATAGGAATGCAAGCTTGTTGTACGGAAGTTGTTGGCTTGTTATTTATGTAGAAAATGATGTTTTCTTCTGGAGGAATAAATGACTCATTTAAATGGATGTGGGTAAATTAGGTGTCTAAAAAATTGGCCAGCATCAATATTTTAAGGAGATAATAATTCATTGCGGTGCTAATGGATTTTTCATATTACAGTTTTGTAGCTTTCATGTGCAAATGACATTATGCCCAAGGAAATTGGAAAGGTTTTCTTTGTTTATTTATTGAATGAATTGTTGAAGTTATTTTCTTCCATTTGAGATAGAATGATGATTATGAAATGATAATGTAACAAAATGATACCATATTCTATATAATAACTTTATACTGCATATATTGATTCTTTATGTAGTAGTTATTGATTTACTTGGTCAAGAAGTTTTGTTTTTCATGATGAATGTGTCAAATAGTGATTTTAAATTTTAACTGTATTAAATAATATATGCACAACCTTTTCCCTCCAATTAGGTCAGCTACATTGATCATACGATGTTATAATGTTCTATTATGGGTCGTGTTTATAGACAAGCCATTGACCTTTGTATCCTTCTTAATGGCTTCCATTATAGTTTTTTCTGAGTCTTTCTCTACCCCTAATGATATCTAATAGGTCTACCTTCTGTCTGCCTTACTCTCTTTACTAGGATTTCTATAGGTCTTCTCCACACATCTGTAAATTACCCAGGGCAATTTTCTTCTACAATAGGTGCTGCCCAAAATGTAGCTCCCATTCCCAATCCTATGTTGTCTAATATGTCCAAACATCAAACACAGCATTCTCATCTCTGCTGCATTGAATTTATTTTCTTGTTGGCCTTTTACTTTCTAACACTCAATCCTATACATGGAAAGTATAATAGTTGCACAGTAGAATTTTCCCTGAAGTTTAAGATGTTCCCTTTTGTCACAGATAACACTTGAAGCAATCCTCACCCTTTATGGTTTACACATTGTACTAAAGAAAATGTGTGTTGCTTCAAAATTCCAATTCATTTTCAGTATAATTAATTTGAAAATAACTAGGAAGGTAGAAAATAATACAAACTTCTATATCATTCCCCCACAGCTGAGTGGCCATTTACATGTGTAGTAAAAGTACTCATTTTGTCTTCTGGAATGTTGGGCCATTTTCATCAAATATGGTTTAACAAGGTGTTTTGATGTCTTATGGTCCATCTCAACTGGTATTCTTTACTCTCATTCTCTATGGTTTTCACTGGGGTAGGGGTGTAGTATTTTTTATCAAATTTGTCTTAGGTTCTTATCCCATTCAGGATGCTTTAGACCTCAGCTACTTGGTTTAGGTCTCTTTACTTTTAATAACAATATAAAAGTCTATTCTGGATAGTTGTAAGATTTAAATGTACAAAATGAATCAGTGCCTCTCATTGTTTCACATTCTAAAGCAGTAAGTAGACCATGTTTGTGAAATGAAGATGGCTTTCTATGCATCTATTTATCTTAATTATTTATTATTTTATTCTGGACTTGGTAATAATATTTGGTCATAAACTTTTGTTTTTCAGTATACACCGGCTATAGACATATGGAGCATTGGCTGCATTTTTGCAGAACTGTTGACTGGAAAACCTCTTTTCCCTGGGAAGAATGTTGTCCACCAACTAGACCTTATGACAGATTTTCTTGGAACTCCATCTCCTGAAGCCATTGCTAGGGTCTGTTGTTCAGTTTCCCATCCTTTTAGCAATTTTGTTTGTTGACTTGTTCTATTTTGTTACTTAATGCATCGTTGGTATTATATTAATAGGTACGAAATGAGAAAGCTCGGAGATATTTGAGCAGCATGCGTAAGAAGAAACCAGTTCCTTTCTCGCATAAGTTTCCTAATGCAGACCCCCTTGCTCTTCGTTTGTTAGAAAGAATGTTGGCATTTGAGCCTAAGGATCGGCCAACTGCTGAAGAGGTTAAATCTTGATGTCCATCTATATGTAGTTCACTTTCTCTGTTATATCTGGCTAATAGGTTACCATGTATATATATAATAATGTTAGGCTCTAGCGGATCCATATTTTAAAGGTTTGGCCAAGGTTGAGAGAGAACCATCTGCTCAGCCAGTTACCAAGATGGAATTTGAATTTGAGAGACGGCGAATAACAAAGGAAGATGTACGAGAGCTTATATACCGAGAGATTCTGGAGTACCATCCGAAGATGTTGAAGGAATTTCTAGAGGGAGCAGAGCCTACAGGTTTCATGTATCCAAGGTATTGTCTAAGCATTTATCCAAATTTTTGTTTTGCACCTCATTAACACTTCATGAACAATATATTTTATTTAGGTATTGCTTTCAGTTGTATTGTTGCTCGAGAGTTCATAAATTTGAACACTAATGGGTTCTACAATTTTCATTTTTACACATTAAGGAGTCTATATTTACAGTACCTTGTTTAGTTAAATGTAACTTCTCTAGTGTTCAGAATATAGTTATGGCTAAAATAATAAACTTTATTGAAGAAAGTACACGAGAAAATGCTATGACAAACCCCAATGTATATAAAGAAAACAATTGATGTATTTTTTAATTGCCTGGTTTTGTTACCCTAATTTCTGTGGTAAGGTTAGCTTTTGGTTTCGTTCTTTTCCTAAAATCTATTTTGATTTTTTAATAGTGCTGTGGATCACTTCAAGAAGCAATTTGCATATCTTGAGGAGCATTATGGCAAAGGGGGAACTGTTGCTCCACCTGAGAGGCAACATGCATCATTACCCAGGTATCTTAATTTTCTGTCACTGTTTTGGAAATGGTTGTTTTCTTCTTTGGCCATTGTTCGTTTATCTTGTCAAGTTCTAATATAGATTACACCCCTTTATTTGCTTTGTAATTGCCTGCTCCACTGATTTGTTGCTGTCCATGCAGACCTTGTGTATTGTATTCAGACAACTCAATGCAGAATACCTCAGAGGTTGCAGATGATCTATCCAAATGTTGCATCAAAGAAGTTGAGAAACAACCCGTAGATAGGAGTAGTGCTATCCCTATGTCTAGGCTTCCTTTGCAAGCACCTCAAAATATTCAAGGTGTGATGATCGACTTTACACATTTTTGCCCCTTCTCCGTCTCCCTTCCTTTCTTCCTATGTAGGGCACACACTCGGCTGGCACTATCTGATGAGTATTGTGCCTTTGTGAAGCTTCTTTCATTTTAATTCATCTTTCTTTTAATGAATAAGAGGTTACTTCTGCATCTTTGGACTCATGTCCTTTCTCTATAGCCACATAGTGGGAATTGTGTGAATGGCTGAAAGCGACTGGTTTGTATAGAAGAAAAGCCGAAATAGAACCCTGGAATTCTTTAAATTGTTCTTATGATATTTTTTATCATCATATTCTGTATTCTAGCTACACCTTCACACATCCACATTTCCCAAGAATTGGCTGTAAGGTGATTGGCAGAATATAAATTCTTTGTTATTAAAAAAAAAAAAAACTGATGGAATATGTTAGTACTACATATAGATGTAGGGCATTACAATATAATTCTCATCTAATATTACCTATGGATTTTAGGCACTATAATGCTGTTCTCATCCAATATGCATTTGTGGCTCTGTCTGCAGGTGTTGCTGCAAGACCCGGAAAGGTTGTTGGTTCGGTAATGCGTTACAACAACTGTGGGGTAGCAGTGACGGCAGAGGCTGAACAACGAAGGGCAGTCAGGAATCCATCTGTTTCAGCTCAGTACGCTGCGTCAAGCTGTTCGTATCCCAGGAGAAACCCAGGCTATAAAAATGAGAGGGCAGAGGATGACGGGATTGAAGGTTCAAATGGGCTGCAGCCAAAGCCATACATGGCGAGAAAAGTGGCTGCTGCTCAAGGTGGAGCTGGTGGTCAGTGGTATTGATATTGAATTATATTGAATCTATGTGGCTAACAACAGCCTTGTGTTGTGCTTGTGCTTGTGCCATGAAGCTCTCATATCTTATCTGAGTTTCATGCGCTGCACCTAATCTTGATCATCTGAACTGAAATTTCACATTTGAAGTATCAAACAAAGGGAGAGCTTAAGGGACTCAACTCCTAATGTTGAAGTATCTAGAGGATGATTTCTTAATTCTCAAAATTAGCATCATCAATTTGAAGTTTGAAGGGTTCGCATGGCCCAATTGATGACTTTCTTGCACTCTAATATGCTAATAACAGAGAACATGAAAGATCTGAAATGCCATGCATGAGCTTGAAGGCCAACCCGGTTGCTTCATTCCAGAATTGAAGTTGTTAGTGTTACCTTTACCCTAGTATTACTTGGGTAACATTACCAGGATAATGTATTTTTAATTTTAATTTTAAAAAAACGAGTTATAGCCAAACTGCCACAGTCATATTCTCTTGTCTCTTTCTATGTGGCGCAACTTTGCTGTTATTAACTTAATTTGGTGTTAACAAAAGAAACGAAGTGTTGGTCCCAAATGAATGTTACTCTTTAAGCTGTTTCACACGTTTGCTTACTGAATTCCAGGTGGGCACTCTGAATCTGATATTTCCTCGGCCTAGGAATCATAAGTGTTTGTCATACCCTAATAATTATGGGCAAACGTGAGGGCATACTTTTATGCTGAAATATGGAAAATACAGCTATTAAACCCTAAATCCTAAAAAACTCTAAATCCTACACCCTAAACCCTAAAAATCGTAAACCCTAAAAACTAAAAAAACCCTAAATCCTAAAAACCCAAAACCCAAAACCATAAACCATAAACCTTAAAACCCTAAAAACAATAAATCCTAAAAAATAAAAAACCCTAAACCTTAAACCCTAAAAAATCATAAATCATAAACCCTAAAACCTAAACCCTAAAAAATCCTAAACCCTAAACCCTAAAAACACTAAACCATAAACCCTAAACCATGAACCCTAAACTCTAAACTCTGAACCATGAACCTTGAATCCTGAATCCTGAACCCTGAAACCTAAATCATGAACCCTGAACCCTAAATCATAAACCATGAATCCTAAATCCTAAATCCTAAACCCTAAACCCTAAACCACAGACCCCAGCCCCAACCCCCAAACCAAACCCTAAACCCTGAACCACCAACCCCCCAACTCTAAACCCTAAACCCTAAAAATGCTAAACCCTAAACCCTAAAAAACCCAAACCTTAAAAAACCCAAAACCCAAAACCCAAAACCCAAAACCCTAAAAACCCTAAACTCTAAAACCCCAACCTTGAACCCTAAAACCCTAAAAAAACCCCAACCCTTAACCCTAACACCCTTAACCCTAAATGTAACGACCCGGCTGGTCACTACACACACACCACTGTACACCGAAAACGCCAGACAGAAAGGACAAGTATATAAATGGAGTTACAGAACCAAAAAACTGAAGGAGATAACCTGTCTTTGTTAAGAGTTCATGCACATGCTTTATTTGATGCATCCCTTGTCCTGTAGGTATAGACATTCAAATCTGGAATTCTGCACTATCAATAGATGAAAAAATGCCTTTGACAGAATGTTCCATCAGTTGCAGTGTTATATGATGACTTTACTTCTTTATGTTCTTGATTTTCTAGGGACATCTACGAACAGTAAGTCAGGATGGGAATGAAGATTCAGTTGGTCGAAGTGTAGAATATGAAGGTCGCATAGTTAGTTTTCTCTACAATTTAGTCAGCAAAGACTCTATTTTGGTGACTGCCTGGAGTGGTGGGCAATTACAGATAGATGCTCTAGCCAAAAATATTTATGATTGTTTTAATAGAACAAGTATAATTGGCATTTGGATTTAGGTTGTGAATTTGTAAACTTTGGATTTAGTATGGGAAAACAAGCATAGGAAAAAAGTAGAACATTGCAATTGGGAATCACTAATTCCATTTGTTTTTTCACTTATGAACTAAATGTTATATACGAGTGACTAGTCCCAAATAGATTTGAAGTACTGGTATTACTTGTTGATGTGCAATATAATATAATTTCAATCTTTCTGGTTATTTGAAGTGGTGAAGGTTCACACCTGTGTTCTTAGATGACATAATATTACATAAATATTAATTGCATCACATCCTTCATTTGTACTTCTTAATTATCACTGGTTGTCCTCCAGAAAATACTAAAATGAAGATGACTGATTCGTATTTTTTCTGAAGCTAGTTTCTATGTAGCAGCACCACTCTCGTTGTGTGGCGATTGTGCAGTAGAGGTCTTTAACTACCACCCCCCCCCCCCCCCCTCTCCAGCCCTGCATTAATCCAAATCACATAATTCTGCAAGCAACAAATATTCCCAGACATGCACAAATTTCCTAGAAACAACGTTTGTAATCTTTGGATCAAAAAACATCATATACGGAGTAAGTTCTCAAGGAAAATGAGGAATAGTATTTTGCTGGTTTTACTCTCTCTTTTTTAATTTTTACCAAATAGATTCAATATGGATCAATTTCAGGCTAACCGGTTGGTGTTGATTCATTTCATAAATCAACTGTATCTGATTGGTTGACTTGTGGCAAATCAACAACATATTCTATTATCGGATCTTTTATACCATTGTCAGGACGAAATTATATAAAAGACATAAGTGATGCATGTCTGATCCATTAGCGGGGAGTCGTGAACCCTTCATGAAATTAAGTGTCAAAGTACCAAAAATAGCCTATCTGTTTTTTTTTTTTTTTTATTTCTTCTGAAACCCTATTAAGAATCATATTTGGTTAAAAAAATTAACATAAATAAAATTTCTTAAGTTGTCCAAAAAAAAAATTGAGCCTCTAACTAAAATAATTTAAAACTTAACTCGAGTCGAGTACATATTTAGATTAACTTAGTTTGAGGGGAAAATCTTATTTTATAACTTCTTAAAAAAGTTAAAAGAATATGTTTCTGAATAAATTGAAATGACACAAAGGTACACATAAATCAGTTAGTTACTTTAATACAATTGAATGTATGAAGACACACTCAATCATCTGGCTGGTTTGCCCGAGAGGTTAAGGGGGAAGACTTAAGATCTTCTGCACATAAGTGCGCGTGGGTTCGAACCCCACAGCCAGCACTTTTTTAAATTTAATTTTTGGTGTAAAGTTAACAAAGCTTAGCGTTTATCTTAATATTTAGAACACTCCTTTTTATTTACTCCTCTTATTTTAAAATTGGGCTCTCTTATCCTTAAAAAAAAAGTGGGCTCTCTTCGTATCTTAAATTGGGAATTGTAACCAACCCATTATTCTGATGGATGGGCTACATATCAAAGGCTCACTTTACAACATTTGGCATAATATAGTCCCAAATCCGGATATCCCAATGTTGAGGTCACTTATTACATATTTAGTCTAAAATATTATCATTTAATTTATTATAAGAATAATCATAAAGTAAAAGACATGATTATTAAGAAGAGAGTGGAAGAGAGAAAAGGACAGCGGGTCTCACACTAAAAACCCCCTGGCCCCAAGCCCACAAGAATCTAAAACAACAAAGACTCTACACACACAACATTAGTTGAAATTAAAATAAAAACAATGAGTTTATATGTTCAAAATGGTTATGATAAAACATAATTACAACATAATAGATAACTAAAGGAAAAAAAATATACATATGCATTGTGGACAAATGATGATCTGGCACAAACATAAAATAAAAGCATAGTTGATAAATACATGTTCCATTGAAACACAATGGTATTTTTCTGGTCGTGTATTACTAGATTCACAATTAGCTTGAACTTTATCATCATGATTCACACCCTCATCATTCAATCTTTATAAATCTTCATGAAGCTAGCCAAACTTCAATGCCTGTTATAACAATCCTTTTCATAATAGAAAACATAACAATTAAATGAGACATCAATTTCTACCAAGTTTACAATTCTTTTGTTTGTGAGAACTAGTGTGTGTAATTTTTCGAAATTTCTACAATACAAATGCACAAGAATCTAGAGAACCACATCAAACCATACCTCCAATGTTGGAATTAATTCTAGAAATCATATTTACACGTGAGCTTTGTAACCAACCGGTTAAGATATGGCATGTTTTCGAGTTTGACAATATTCAATACAAGAGAGAAGTAGACTAATAACTAGGTTACAACTGTTTCTTTTCAGGCCCTATTTGAGGGATGGAGGGGTTCTTCTATTATTCAGACTTTAGAAGACAAATGCGGCAAACTCGTTCCTCACATACAAAACTGTAAACCAAGAGCAATTAGAGAACAAGTGAACTTTTCATTTTAGTCGTTGCATTGTAGCTGGCATTAGCATTAGAAAAAATATTTTTCACTAGTAGAAATCATGTTTATGTTCAGAGCATACACATTTTGTCCGATCTTATAATGTACCTTTTTACATTGTAATTTAGTATTTACAGTTCCTGTTTTTTATGACAATTATTATAAAATCACATTTAAAGTGATTTCGAATTCATTTATGTGCAGTAGTGATAGTATACTAAAATTATTTTTCCTTATATTTATTGTCGTATAGCGTTTTGCTTTAATGTACAATATGTATATCTTCTACAAAGTGAGAATCTTCGTTGAACAAATAAATATTATATTTAAAATTTATATAAAAAAATATTTTTAAACATAAAAATTATATTTTAAAATTAAAATAAATAATTAGTATTATGACACGTAATGATTTATAATTAGTAATAATTTTGAATGGATAGAGAGAGTGCAATTAGCAAAGGAGTTTAGAAGGAAGAGAAGAAGACAAAGCTTAGTGAAGAGCGGGTGGAGTATAAATAGCAATGGAGTGTATTGGCTTAATTAATTTTTACCAAGAGTGAAGCCTGATCCGATGTGGTTGGGCAGTGGTATTTACAGCGTGAGCCAGTGCTCAATGTTGCGCAAACTCCTCTGCACCACTCTCCCTCGTTTACCCTCCAAAACCCTAACAATCAGAAGCTTCTCCTCTTCGAAAATGGGGGACGCCAGGAGACCCTCACCGCTCCCCATCCCCACCTTGGACAAAGCCCAACGCTCCGACCTCCTCCGAGCCCTCGAGGCCTCTCTCGGCAGCCCCTTCAGCTCCGAGCCCCTCTCCGCCAACCCCAGCCCCCTCATCATCGTCATCAGCGGCCCCAGCGGCGTCGGCAAGGACGCCCTCATCGCCCGCCTCCGCGAGTCCCGCCGCGGCCTACACTTCGTCGTCACCGCCACCACGCGCCCCCGCCGCCCCTCCGAGCTCCACGGCCGCGACTACCTCTTCGTCTCCAAGGACGACTTCCTCGCCATGGTCCACCGCGACGAGCTCCTCGAGTACGCGCTCGTCTACGGCGACTACAAGGGCGTCCCCAAGCAGCAGATTCGCGAGGCGCTCGCCAAGGGCTGCGACGCCGTGCTCCGGGTCGACATCCAGGGCGCCGCCACGCTCCGCAAGGCCCTCGGCAAGTCCGCCGTGTTTGTCTTCGTGGCTGCCGAGAGCGAGATGGCCTTGGTGGAGAGGCTCGTCGACCGGAGGACTGAGACCGTTGAGTCGCTGCTTGTTAGGATTGGCACCGCTAGGGAGGAGATGAAGCATGTTAAGAATTTTGATTATGTTGTGGTGAATGCCCAGGGGAAGCTTGATAATGCCGTGAAATTGATGGAGTCGATTATTGACGCGGAGAAAGCTAGGGTTTCGCAGAGGAATCCTCTCCTATGAGAAATACTCGCATGGTATGCAAATTATGATTGATTTATGTGAAATTTTCATGGTCAACTGTGTGTGAATTTGTTTGTGCTTCAGTAGAGGGGTGGGGGTAAACTAGAGATAAGCTTTCTGAAACGTTTTCTTATTCTGATTTGAGTTTGCGGTAAGGTTCTTCAGGATGAACTAGTACTTGTTGGAGATTCCAAATTCACTAGTGATATACCCAAAATTATTTATGTAAGAAAGGGACAATTTTCTACAAGCTCACATAAACTGACTGTTGAGGTTGAGTTAGAGGGTAAAACCTAAATTCTAAGAGTGTTCCATTGCGGAAAAGCCTGGTATTTTGGAGGGAAGGACTGTTCTCCACCCCATTCCCTTTCTACAACCTCAAACCTGCAATATCCATTCTTTGAGAAACAAGTTTGAAGTCAAGTATCCATCACCTCATACCAACTCTGCATTAACATGTCAATATTGATTCCATTGCTAAAAAAATGAATTATTAGGTTGCGTTGATATGCCAGTACAGTTATGACAACATTTTTCAAAACTAGGACACAGGTACTAGAGGATATATTGTATAAATATAAGGAACCCAAGTAATAGATTAAGAGTCTGTTTGGGTAAATTTATCAATAAGCACTTCTAGGAGAACAAAATAGGAAGAAAAAATGAAATAAGTTTTTCCATAAGCAAAAATTTGCATATGCATAAACTAATTTATAGAAATTCTCTTTTATTAAGTTCTATAAATTCTTATTTTCAACTCATCCTTAAGTTAGTTTTAACTTATAAAGAAACTTATTTTGATTTTTTATCCTAAAAGTGTTTCTAGAGAAATCTATCCAAATAAGTCCCAAGTCATAGTGAAAATAGGAAGAAAAAATGAAATAAGTTTTTCCATAAGCAAAAATTTGCATATGCATAAACTAATTTATAGAAATTCTCTTTTATTAAGTTCTATAAATTCTTATTTTCAACTCATCCTTAAGTTAGTTTTAACTTATAAAGAAACTTATTTTGATTTTTTATCCTAAAAGTGTTTCTAGAGAAATCTATCCAAATAAGTCCCAAGTCATAGTGATAAATTAGCACCATAAAGTATCTCGAGTACACAAAAGCATCTAAAGAGGGCACATAATTTGAAAGTATGAAGTAGCTGTTAGTTTCATTTTGTAGTTATCCATACAACATAGTAACAATTTAGTATTTTGTATGGACTGGCTTGTGCTTGAGTGATATCAGTTTATTGGAATGCTTGATTGATGGTGAAATTTGGAAAAGATACAAGGTATAAGGTATGTACTCGTGTGTACCTGGTAATGCATCATATTTTAGTTGTACATGTCCTATAATTTTAAGAATTGCCATATTTCTGTGTGAGCATCTTGTTGTATCTGTACTTTCTAACTTTCAACCTGCAAGGTATAACTGACTGTATTGTTATTATTGCCTCTTCTCTTCTCCGGGTATGATAGTAAATTTTAATTTGTGAGCTCTGCTTATTGCCAGTGACGAGGTTGGTCCTTTGGTCCTTTCCTACAACTGAAGTCCTCATGGGATAACATGTTGGGAGTAATGCTTGTGGTGATTCTTCCTATACTGCATTAAAAGAAATACAAGTGTTTTTTCTTGGTGAATAGAAGTTTGAATTACAATGCTTAATATCATTTGTTTATTTTATTTAGTGATCTCTGGTTGGAAATAGTTATGTAAGTAGCAAATTGAATGTAGTGGATGAAACAGTGAACTGAACTGACACAGTTAGCATTGGTACCTTGTGTAATCCTTCTAATGAACTGATTCAAAAAGCCAGTGACTCTGTCAAACCTAATTGCTATAGATTTTTATGCACATACTGGGTTCCTTTCTCTCTCCTCTGTTTTACTCTTGGTTTAACCGCAATATTTGTATACTTGTTCTAATTCAATAAAGGTGGAAAATTATGGTTACAAGTTGTTTTGATCTTTCCTATGTATTTACAGCTAGGGTTTGTGAACAACTAAATTTCATACCCATGCAACACACGGAATCATAGAATTTATGTAAGGTAACGATGAGCGATAAATAGTTGAATTCTTTAAATGCATTATCAGAATTTCATACTTAATTATGTGTATTGAAAAAATTTTGTTAAGAGAGACCAAATTCACTTTAGTGATCTCTACAACTTGAAAAGAATTAGTTTCACTTAGCTTTCATATTATAAGAATTATTTATTTTCATGTTATACTTTATGTATAATTTCCATTTAAATATTTAGGTGTTTGAACACAAATCTTCAATAAAAAAGGTTGTCCCTGTAAATTAAGTATGAATTTTCCAGTTATTTTTATAAAAGAAAATGTTCATCCCGTGAAATATAAAAGTGTAACTAAACCACAATAATTTAGATAATAATGTGATTTCAAGTAAATTGTTCATCCCGTGAATTAAGTAAAAAAAAAAATTCATACTTGCTTTCACATGAAAACTATTTATTCTCATTTGTTATACTTGCTTTCTCGTGAAGAAGCTGCGGGGACTGTTTTAAAACCAATAATAATATTATATTCAAAGCTTTCCTAAATAGATAAAATTTTAAGTTTGTTTTTGTGAAGGTTGTTGACAAGTTGACACGTGTAAACATGTTTTATTTGTTATAATGTAGATGAAATAAAGATCGTAATCTTTCTTAGGTCACTTTTATTATTACCTCTATATTTAACTGGTATAATATTTTGCTCACATCAAGTATATTCTTGATTATCACATTCTCATCTCAAGTTTTTCGTAACCGTCAATTACCCGCGTCATATAGAATCTGGGTGAAGATCCAATCCTTATTTTTCCATTTACTGGCATGGATTTGATGATTAATGTATCCATTTTTTCTTCTTTTTTATTAGTGAAGTTAATAAAAATGTTAGCTTAGCGATGTTAAAAATGAGTATTTTGCCTAAAGCTTACAGGCCTAATTCTCTGTATCATTATTGTACTAAAATAATGTTGCTATTTTTTTTTTATTCTCCCTCAGTTTTACTTTATGTTAAGAAGTTTTTGCCGAGGATGTCTTTAATATAAAACTAAGAGCGGTAGAAGATGAATTTCGCTAAAATTCTAAGTTCTTAGAGGAATGGATCGGATTGAAAACTTCTCTCAAAATCTCGTCCAGGTGGTGGTGGACGAATTTGCCTTGGCAATTTGGCTCTCTGTGGGTTGGGTTGGTAAAAGATTAAAAAATTCACGTATCATTACATTCTAAATTTAGGAGTGTTGCACTACTTAGTAATGTTTTTTTTAACACGTTTTATTATTCATTAAAAATTGCCAAAAAATTATAAAATCAAAAGGGCATGAACATGGATGCATTTGGTTGAGGAATTGAATCATCAACAGATCCTAATTTGTTTTTTGCTTCAAGAGCCATACGCATAGAATGATACTTGGTACCATAGAGATATTTTATTGTAATAAGTTGGATAAAAAAAATCTAAAACTTGAAAATGATAATGATAATAATAATAATTTTATTTTAAGAATAACATGACAGAGAGGCTAACTTAACGTCGAAATATGGAGTAAAAAAATCAAAGGAACAGTATTTTTTTCGTAAACATAAAATAGTTATGATCTAAAAAAAAAGAAAGAAGAACTTAATAAATTGAAATATATCGAGCAGAAGAAAAAGGAACAACACATACTAGCCTCTCATTCCCTTTGCAAAAATTAAAAATAAATAAATAAAAATTGTGCATTAGCTTAAGCTTGTAGCATAAAGCATCCCTGTTTTACGTGTACGCGTAAAATAAAACCAAGATATTCCACAAGCATAAACTTATGGCCTTGGTTTCTTTAAGAAACCCAAAGAATCTAGATTTGAATTTTGTAGGGTCCTTATTTATTTTCTCTTCTTTGGCCTCCCTTTTCTGTTTTACTTTCTTTTTATTTCCCCCCTTTTTGGCTACGCTTTCTGGGACCCAAAAACACTTGACTTGACGAGGACCCTTATTTGTTAACTGAACAGCAGATTGTTCCTCACATCACAGAGATACTCGTTGCATTAATACTGAGCTATCTCAGGAATATTATATTATAAACAACTTTTCTCATTAATTTTGGACCACAGGCTAGTCCCAGGACCCAGGTGCTATGTGGTTGGGCTCAAGTCTCAATATATATTATTCTAGTTTCCATATCTGAAGTAAATGCGTGAGGGTGAGGGTAAGGCTGAATCTTTTGAATATTTTATGGCAGCACAGCACGCATGAGCAACGTAATTAGGCATAAGCTATATTATACGGATTGCGAAAGTAACTCGTTTTTAATAAATATTTTGTGAGTCATACTCATATGATCATATCATGAGAGTGTGATAAGATGATCTATCCGTGCACTCCAAGCCACAACACATAACAACTAATGATTAGGAAACTGGTTTTTGTGTGTAATTTTCTGTTTCTTTACATTCACATGCAATTCTTGTGGTTCTGGCCAAGACTCTCATTTACATGGATTGGATTCTTGCACACATTTTTTTAATGTAACATATGGAGTAAATTAAAATGATTTACAATATATGTATATATATACTAATCAAAACCTCTATTTGTTTTTTCCCTTTTTTTTTAGTGAAGAAAAAATGGAAGATATATTGAAATATATATTCTTTATGTTTTGTATTGGTGTGCCTATGTACAATGTGTTTAGTATGCCAAGAAACATGTTAATTTGCAAAGTAACTATTAATTGTTTTTATTATTATTTTTAATATACATTTATAACAACATAGATACAAACACATTGATTTAGTCCATGTTTGGAAACTCATTCATTAACAAAGAAGAAACTACTGGTGAGTTCGCTGTACATAAAAACTGTAAATTTGTTTAAATAAATTTTTTCATAACTACTTGTAAAAAAATAAAAATAAAAACGAAATAAATTTGTTGAGAAAGCTAAACTAAATTATACATAAGATAATTCGTAAAAACTCTTTCTTATTATTATATACTTCAAAGTTTCAAATTAGGTTTAATTGTATTTATAGTCCTTCAAATTTGAGGTATGTATTTTTTATCTCTAAAATTCAAAATTTATATTTAATTTCTAAAATATAAAAAATACTACTTTGATTTCTCAAATTCAAAATTTATCTTTTTGGTCTTTTAAATTTATAACATGTGTTTTTAGCTTCAATAAATAAATATATATATATATATATATTATCTTAGTTTTTCTATTCAAATATTATTAATTAATCTATCATTCATAATTCTTTTATTAGTGTTATTGTCGGTGAAAAGATCATGTTAGATCAATTAATACTATAAAATTATTTTAATTTATCATTATTAATTATGTTATTAGTAATCTTAAGAAGCTAAAATAATATTTTTAAAATTAATAAATAATATTTTTATATTTTGATAGCTAAAAATATATATTTTAAATTTGAGAAACTAGTAGAATATATACAAGCATCACAATATATTTTTAAAATTATAGGACTAAAAATATGCATTTTAATTTGAATGATAAAAAATTATTACCTTTAATTTGAAGGAATAAAAATATAATTAAGTCTTTAAATTATATTTTTTAATTTATACATAAAGTGACTTACTTATGATAAAATTTATCTAGATAAATAACTCAATTAACTTTTCAATGGCCACTCGGAATCACGTTGGTCATGCCATTGTGACCCGGTCCCACCATGGTCCCATGCTTCTCACAGGTAAAACGAGTGATTAGTGATTACCTATGTGTCACTAACTTTTGCCCCCACCAACTATAATATAAATGGTCCAAACTCCATGTATACTTTGGATAAAACTTATCAACAAGTTATGGGTGTTGTTGTAGCCGCATGTGAATTTCACCTTGTTAATACGTGTAATATATGATTTTATTAAATATCAATATGAAGTACAAGAGTAAAACTTAAATTTTAATTAGAGAAGAATGGCAACAATGTTTATGACATATAAGTTTTTGTTAGATTCATAATAATTACTTAAAAAATCATTTTTATCTTGATTTCACAACTTTTTATAGTACATAAAAATTTAATCTGTTTATATAAATTATTACTATATAATTTTGTTGTATACGAATAACCTATTTGGCTCTTTCAAAACAAACAAATAAGAAAGCTTTACTTTCCCATAATTTTGGTATTGGGAGTGCCTGAACTTGTATTTCTGTGGATGACAAAGTAAAAAGTAGAAAAAGAGGAATGTGGTAAACAAACAATTAAACTTATTGACTTGTGACTTCTTTCAGTTAAAAGATCCTCCACCAATCAAAAGGGAGTGAATCTTCAAGCTGATCAATACTTCCAAAAAACGTGACATATCCACTTCAGCGTTATGCTACGTACTCTTAGATCAACACTTCCAAGAAACTTTCTAGAAAGAGAGAGTTTGGCGTCACTCTTTC